AAGAGAAAGTTAGAAAGGAGGAAGAGGAGAAAAGGGTTGAGGAGGAGAGGAGACGAGGAGAAGAAGAGGAGAGAGCGAGGAGACAAGAGGATGAGTTAGCAGAGGAGAAGAGGAGACTGGAAGAAGAAAGACAGATTGAAGAGGAGGGATTCAGAAAGGAGGAAGAGAAAAGGATGAGGAGGGAAAGGGCTGAGGAAGAACAGAGGAAACGAGAGGAAGAGCATGAGAACAAGAAGAGACGTGAGGAACAGGAAGAGAGGCAAAGGGAGGAAAAGGACAGAATAAGGATGGAGGACGAAAGGACTCAGGAAGAGATGAGGAGACGAGAGGAGAGCGCAAGGAGAGAAGAACAGTGTCGATCAGCAGAGAAGAGAAGAGTGGAGGAAGAGAGAAGCATTAAAGAGGAGGAGAGGATTAGGAGGGAGGAGGCTGAGGAAGAGAGGAGACAAGGAGAGACAGAGGAGATGGTGAGAAGACAACAAGAGGAGCGTGAGGAACAAGAAAGGAGGCAAAGGGAGGAAGAGGAAAGAATGAAGACAGAAGAGGAGGAAACTAGGAGGGAAAGGAAACACTGAGACAAGAGGAAGAAAGAAGGATTGAGGCAGAAGAGAAAAGGAAACAGGAGGAGGAGGAAAGGATAAGAATGGAAGAAGAGATGAGGAAGAAAGAAGAAGAGCGCAAGCAGTTGGCAGAGGAAAAGAGGAAACTAGAAGAAGAAGAAATGAGGAGGATTGAGGAAGAAGAAAAGTTTAGGAAAGAGGATGAGAAGAGACAAGTAGAGAGAGCTAAGAAGGAAAAGGAAGAAAGACTGTTCGAGGAGGAAATGAGACGAGAGACTAAACGGATTGAGGAAGAGGAGAAAGTTAAAAGAGAGGAGGAGAGGATTAGGAGGGAGGAGAGAGAGAGAGGAGAAGAGCAGGCCAGGAAGCTAGAGGAAGAGAAGGCAACACGGAAAGCAGAAAAACCAAAGAAGAAGGATGCATCTCAAAGCAAACACAAAGCGGCTGTGGAGACCCCTGCAGAAGTGTCTTCCAATCCGTTTGATGAGAAATGTGCAACTATTCCCTTTGAAGAGGACCCAGACTCGCCGGCTGGAGCAGACGGCAGCGCAGACAAGATGTCCGCCATCCAGCAGAGGTTAGATTTACAATTAAAATGTTCTTACACTTTATCAATTGTTCAAACCTGGTTCGAAATTCACTTGTGGGAAACGGGGAAGGTTGTGGGTGATTCAGGGTAGATGGAGTTTGGTTAAGTTTTGTTCTTTGGGGTTTTCCCTTTCCTGTAGTGTTTGTATCTAGGTATTTGTTTTGCATGGAAATGGTCTGCGAGGGCTAACATTTCAAAATCCTTTTCCCTCTCCTGAAACGCCTCGATTGCTTTGTTTACATCAGAAACACTCACGGTTCTATTGGCTAGCGCTCCAACACATTGTACGTAATAGGCTAAGGGGCGGGACATCCCTAAGCGATTGACCAATCGCAACAGCCAACCAGCTAACCAATCAGAGCAGACAGAGGGTGAAAAGAGGTGCTGCAGCACAGGCAGTATGAGAGAAATAAAGAGCTTTTTGAACATTAAAGCATGGAGACACGTCACAGGAGAGACACTACATACAATGAACCTGAAAATGTCTTCTTTAAGATCTTTAGCCTAAAAACGGATCCACAGTCACAGTAGAGTCACAACATACAATTATGAGCATAACAGGTCTCCTTTAACCTGTGTTAGTTATAGATAACAAAAGAAGGAACAGAAGAAGGAAGTTTGAATTTTGAATATGACCTGATGAAAATGATATGAAGTCATTTACATGTGCAGAAGTGTTGTTGCAGTTTATCTTCTGTTTGTATTCAGTCAGAACAGCAGCTCCTCTCAGCACTTCTCTTTTAAACGCAACCTAACACCCTCATGAACATTGCATAGCTTTGTGCTTGCTTGTGTCTGTTAGCGTTGGTATGAGCGTGCAGATGCATACATGTGTGTTAGGTAGTTTATGTTTCAACCTGAGAGATTAATCATTGAACAGTCTTACCTCATTTGAGCAGCTGACGCATGAACAGGGAGCTAAAACTACTTGAATACAATGGGTCATCATCACTGAATTAATTATCAAGGGATTACAGGATGTGATTTGCTTGGTATTCGGGAGTTTCTTTCTCCTTTTTAATAAACAACCACATCTTACTACATTGCATTGCTTCTACTAAACACTGCTTCTTCCTATGAACAATGTGTCCTCTTTTGTTTATTCCTCTAATTTCTGCATCACAAGTTTGTAATAGATATAATAACGTTAATCTCCTTTTCACCATATTAGAAAGTCACCCCAACGGTGCCCCATGTAATTGAAAAAGTTATCTGTGTCTTGTTTCCAGGGTTCAATCTACTGCACCATTGGTGGGAAGCAAGTCTATTTCTACAGATGAAAAGGATCCTATTAGTGCTCAGCGGGAGAGGCGGCTGGCTCCTCAGCCTCCAGGAAGGAATCAAGACGAGAGTCAGAAGGATGGCTTTGCACAACAACTACCACAGATTACCAAGAAGAGTTCAGACAAAGACATCAAAACCGTCAGTGTTCTGCCTCAGCGCTCGGTGCAAATGATTGCTCCTATTAGTAGGCCTTCCACAGACGCAAAGAACACCCAGAGCTTGACACAAAGTAGTGCCACCAAAGAAACATCAAATGAAGCCAAACACAGTAAACGTCCTGCGCCGCTTAAACCTCTTTCTGTGGAAGAAGAGCCATCATCTAAACCCAAGATAACCCTGTCTTCCGATGGCAGCATTTCCCATAAATGTCTCTCTGTGGCAAAACAAGTCCCAATCGCTTATGGCTTGAATCCATTTGAAGACGACGAAGAGGATATTGCACCAGAAGATGAAGCAGCGCCCTCTAGTGGAACTGGATCGGGACAAAGGCCTTCAGTAGCATCACAAGCTGCAGATAAAGATGATGCCTCTCAAACAAAAATCAAACCCTCAAAAGCCCGCGCTCCTCTACCTTCTGCAAGGAAAGCTGTCACAATGAGCCCTTTACTAAACCAAAACGAAGAAGGAGAACATGTTACAGGTGCGACTGATAATGTGACCCATGCATCTGACCCCAAATCAGAAGCAAAAAAAAGCCTCCACGTCCAGGAGGCTCCCCTTCGAGAGTCTCAGCCTGCCACAGTGCAGATTGCTGGGGAGGAGGCAGGCGGGAAGAAAGGCGGAGCTCCTGTTCCTTTGCGCAGGTGAGAGTATATTATACATCACACACCGCTAGCTCGGAATATTGTGTCTTTCATAAGAAAAAGATTCATCACCCTGCGCATTTCTAATGCAGAGTTTTCTAGGATTCATCATTCACACTCATTCATATTTGTTTCATTAGCCGGTTGTATCTGATGAGGTTACTGTGGATCAATGAGATGTCAGCATTAATATAAACATCATATTCTGTTTTATTTAGTGATTCCTAAATAAAAAAATGGATGAAGCTTTATAACTGACTTATACTTGCACGCATACTCTATTTCATTTCACTTTCATCAGCCAGTGCCTACATCTTTCTTTCTTATGTTGTCATTGCAGGCTTCAACCTGTGAAACCCCTTAATCCTCTGGAACAGCAGTCGGTTTCAGTCGTTCAAGGGGAAAGAGATACCAAATCCTCAAGAATCACATGTGAAGATCAGGAGAAAACAAAGGTTGGTAGGATCCAAAAAGTATATCGTTCTTCGAATGAACAAAGGAAAGTCTCTGAATGAAAGAATGTATATGCTGTTTCATCAGACAGCATGCTTTAAATCTACTTTCAGGGGCTTTGTCTTCTGTATGATTTGAATATATACGTATGTTTGATCCACTCTCACAGGTCGATGCCCCCAGTCTGAAAGGGCCCTATTCCCAGCTTACTCGGGAGGAACTCATCTCTCTGGTGCTCAAACAGGAAAACAAGCTTTCAGATGGAGACAAAAAGATATCAGAGCTGGAGCTGTACATCGACAACTTGCTGGTGCGCATCATAGAGGAGAAGCCGAGTATTCTCATGTCCTTGAACTCTGCGAAGAAAGCTGCCTAGGATTTACATCTGACACTTTATTCAAACTGTAGCCTTCTCTGTTCAGACCCAGTAATCTAGCCGTACCACCAAAGAAACTTAGATGTTCTTGTGAAAGGACATCTTGCAGAAGCTGTTCCAGTTTCATCTAAGAACTTTTCAAAGATATTTTTACATTTTTCTAAATATTTAGTCACCTTCTTGACACTTTGCTATGCATTTGACGAATGAATGAATATCTGTCATGAATGTTTTCATGTTGAGCATTAAAGTCTTTGATGAATGTCAAATTATGTCAAATGTAATTACTGTATTTACTGTATTTCAATGTAAAAATAAATAAAGTTTAAAAACAGCTTTCAGGTATCTCCGGTATGAAGAAGAGCCTTATTTCACTGTCAGATCTATGCACTAGTTATGCAGATAATGTTTCTTTCTTCTCAGTGTCAATGTTTATATGTTTCTACTAACACTAAAAGGCGCTTTACCCTGCTTGTACTATTAACATGATGTACACTGAATTGCTTTACTGATTTATGGTATCAACCTATGCAGAATGAAATAATAGTTTTCTTTTTCTGATAAACAAACGTTATTCCTAATTAATAAAGTTAACATATCTCTGTATAATAGCTATAAAAAAACGAGCTATTAAAGAAAATAATTTATTGATAATATGAAATAGCATAAACACATTAAAAGAGGTTACTTTCCTGGATAAAATACACTGCAGTTGATAACATTCACATTTGCTGAAAATCTACTGGTGAACAGAACACACATTCATAAACAATGCAGAATAACCATTAGCATATGGATTATACTCAATTATTTTCCTTTTTTTTTCCTTTACATAAATAAAGACATTTCCACCATACATTGGAACATTAGGACCCCCAGAACCCGCCTTATATGTGGCCCAAAACCAGAGGTGGGAATTAAACAAGTAGTACTTAGTACTCAAGTACTTAAGTCACATTTTGAGAGGCTACTTGTATTTACTTGAGCATTTCCATTTTATACTTTGTACTTCTACTCCACTATAAATCACAGGTAAATTGTGTACTTTTTACTCGACTACATTTATTTTGTACCTTTAGTAACTTTCAATATTTTGATTAATAATATGAAATATAAACACTAAAATAATACTTTATTTGTACCATGAGTGACATTCACAAGCTACCCTACAGTATCAGAAGCAGAAACGGGTATTCACACGTACGAGGAATTTGACTAGGTGTCGTGGTGC